GAGGGCAGCTTCGAGGACAGCACGCAGACCCTCGAGGACAACGAGCAGAGCGACGAGGGCCGCCAGCAGAGCCACGAGGGCCCCCAACAGAGCTACGCGGGCCACCAGCGGAGCTACGAGAGCCGGCCTCGAGGACCACGAGCAGAGCCTCGAGGGCCAGCGGGACTGCGCGAGCCACAGGCAGAGCCACCAAGGCCGCTGGCATAGCTGCGAGGGCCCCTCCGAAGAGCTTGCAGGACAAGCGGGGCCACGAGTGCCGCCAGGGCGCACCGGGCTACTAAAACGCGCTGGGCCCCGAGCAGCGCCAGCGCCAGCGCCAAGAATTACTGTCTCGCTCCGCCAGAGAGCCACAACTTCGAAGAGAACTGCAGCCTGAAGGACAACAAGAGCCGGAAGAGGACATCAGGAACGGGCGCGTCAAGTGGGTCAACCGTCGCCACGGCTACGGTTTCGTAGAGAACGCGTGGATAAAGCGGGAGTTTGATTGCGATGCCTAAGTCGTGTCGACAAGAGAGAGATGAACGATCTTCGAGTCGGGGACGCGGTGTTCTTCATCTGGGTGCTCAGCAACGGCAAGGTGCAAGCACGCGACGTGCGGAGGCGGGACTACTGAGGCGAGACTGGCCAGTCACAAGCCAGCAAGGACAACGAGCACCAACTGATCATAGAGTGCGTGCGGCCTGAGGCAAGGCCGCACAAACGAAAACAAACCAGTCGGACCTTACCGGGGCCTAGCATCCGGACTTCCGGAGGCGAGGACCCAGCCATTGGCCGGGGTGGTGTCTCCCCTGTTTTTTTTAGCTTCCCTTTTGAAACGAGCTCCCCTCGTCTTCTCCCTCCTTCCTCCTCCTCCTCCTGCTCCTCCTCCGGACAGCGCGGGGGCGCTGGCGTGCGCACGGGCACTGCGGGCTGGTATGGTGCGCGTTCCTGCGAGCGGGCGCCGCGTCGTGAGTTGCGGAACAGAGGACGGCGTTCCTGCCGCTGCGGAAGGAAGAGGAGGCGGAGGAGGAGGAGGAGTAGGGGAAGAGTGAGGAGGAGGAGGAGGAGGAGGAGGAGAAGGAGGAGGAAGAGAAGAAGGAGGAATAAGAGGAGGAGGAGGATAATAATTAGGGAGGAGGGAAGGGGAAGAAGGAGGGAGGAGGGATGCAGGGATGGAGGGGTGGAGGGAGGGAGGGAGGGAGGGAGGAGGAGGAGGAGGAGGAAGTGGAGGAGGAGGAGGCGGAGGAGGAGGAGGAGGAGGACCAATGTAAAACCCCTCCAAGTTCCCTCTTCACAGATACCTACAAGATTTGATTTTGCTGCAACAACAGGTTCGTTAGAAGACAGCTGCCTGAGAATCCAGAGTCGTGCCAGAACGCAGTTCCCGGGACTTCAACGCCGCGGATCGAAGCGACTGTTGCGTCCTGACAATCCTAAACCGCTCCAGACCACCATTCCTTGGACTTCAACACCGCAAATCAAAGTGACCGTTTCGCCCGGACAATCTCACATCGTGCCAGACCACAATTTTGGGGACGTTACCACCGCGAATCAACGTGACTGTTGCGTCCTGACAGTCCGAGATCGCGCCAAAGCACCCCTCCTTGAATTTCGGCACCGCGAATCAACGTGACCGTTTCGCCCTGACGATCTTACACCGTGCCAACACATAATTCTTAGGACTTCAAAGCCGCGGATTGACGTGACTGTTGCGTCCTGGCAACCTTAAACCACGCCAAAACACCATTCCTTGGACTTCAGAACCGCGAACCAACGTGACTGTTTCGCCTTGACAGCCCCAGACAGCACCAAACCACAATTCCAGGGACTTCAACCATACGGCCCTCTGTAACAGTCGCAACCTTTTAAAATGAATGTGAGCGGCGGTAGGGCGAGAACCACATGTTGCAAAGGAATTGCTCTCTATCTTGGAAGCTGTTGCAATATGTTTTAAACGTATGTGCGCGGCAGTAACGCGAGAGCCACATTCGAAAACCACCCGTTCTCGACTTCGAAGCTGTTGTAGATTTCAAGCCTCAGGGCTTACGTTTCAACACCCCGCCTGCTCGATTTGGCCGCCTGGGCCCGCCTTCCCGACCCGCCCTCTGAGGCCGACCCGCCCGACCAACTCGTCTGATTTTGCCACTTGCTTTCTGCTCCTACCCCCCCTTCTGCTAATCTCTCTCGTGCTGCATCTTTCTCCCTCCCTCTCGCCCCCTTCCCCCTCCCTTCCCTTCCCTGTTTTAGGGGCTGCGCCAACTACGCGGGGCAGGTGAAGAAGATATACCCAAGGGGGGGCACGATCGAAGATGAAGAGGGCGAGTATCGAGGGTTTGGGCATATACGTGTTGAATGGCACGCGCGAAAGTAAGACCGCACAGTCTTGACATGATAATTGGCATATCCTTCCTTCATAATAATTATTGTTCTTCCTCCCCCGGTGCCCATGTTGATTTCCAATTCAAATGCTCCTCCCGGGGCTCGTGCCCGGTTTTTTGCAAGGGAACGCCTTGGGGCTCAG